ATGACAGGTTTGTGGAAGCTTCCATATAGAGGGAAGAGACTGTGCAAATCACAAGCCACTTGAAACTGAATTGAATTGAAATGGAATTGAAAATAGTTTGGTACAGCTGGAGCATTGAGTATTCTTTGGTGATTGGCAAGGGATGAGTTTGGGAGGGAGGTAGGGGGGGGTCAGATTCTGATTTGAAGGTTTTGCACATATTATAAGAAGAGGTTCCTGCTCCATTCTGATATCAATGAGAATGCCGTGACTGGCTTTGCTTTGCAACAAGATGATTACGATGGGAAAGGAGGCTAGGGCAGGGAGCCTGGTTAGGAGACTGTCTCTGTGATCCCAGGGAGGAAGACAGAGGGTGCCAACCAGGGCTGTGGCTGTGGAACCAGAGTGAGAAGGAGCAATTTCTGCACAGGACAACCGACTGGCTTCTTGAACCAAACTGATGTAAGGAGGGACAGAAAGGAAGGAGGCTATGAAGATGTCTTGTCTCTGGCTTGGGCAGCTGGCAGGCTGGAGGTATCATTAACAGAAATAGGGAAAACAGAAGGACGAGCAGATTTTGTGGGGGAAGATGGTGATTTTGGTTCTGGACGTGTTGAGTTTGAGATGCATATGGGAAATCCAACCAGCACTATTGGGCAGGCAGACATATGTAACAGGAGCTCACCTGGGAGCTCTGAGCAAAGCAGAAGTCATGGCTGTGGATGAGTTTTTTAAGGGGAATGTGTGCAGTGAGGATTGAAGAAGCCACAGAAGCTCCGAAACATTCACATTTGAATAAGGCACCAACAGAGAGCAGCTCAGCCAGGACCCCAAGAACAAGTAGGAGGAGCACCAAGAGAGTGAACACAGAGCAGGCCAAGAGATCTGTGGCTAAGGCTGGCTCAGTGGTCACCAAACTCATCCCCCCCATTCCTGGATGCATGAGCAAGCTCCATTTCCAAGCCTTTCTGCATGGTGGGGGTGGGGGGGTTAGGGGAGGACAGACCAGTGACCAGGGCTGCCAGATGAATGCGGGAGGAGGTAACGTGCAAGTCCATCTTTAAGAGCCAGTCCATCTTCCTCAGGCTCTTTGCCTTCCCATTTATGACCCCTTTGGAGGTTGCATGTAAAAGAAACCTCTGGAAGGAAAGCACTCCGATTTTGAGTTTTATTTGTTACTACAGCAGAGCCTCGCCCACCTTTCTTGACCCTGGCTCTGGAGTCAGATGGCTGTGTTTGAATTTCATCTACAGCTCTTGCTAGCTGTGTAACCTTGAGTAAATTGCTTAATTTCTCCGTACTTCAGTTTCCTTATTGGAATAATACTATAATAATAATAATAATATACATAATAATAGAATAAATAGCAATAAAATATGTTAAGTAAAAGATATTTTAATAAACTATGACAATAATGTGTTAATAATATCTATCTCATATAATTGAGGGTAAAATGAGGAAACAAGTGTGAAGTATTTAGGACAGAATAAATAATTTAGAAATGTTAGACCCTAAGGGAGAGGAGAATGTCAAGAATGGGAGGATAGTTTATAGCTGGAGTCAGCCAACTACAGCTGCAGCCTACAGCCAGCAAACTGCACTGCTGTTTGTGGACAGCTTTTCGGTTTAAGAGGGGTTCTAGATTTTTAAATAGTTGAACTAAATCACATGAGAATTATACAGAATTCAGTTTCAGGATCAATAAATAAAGCTGCACTGGAACACAGCCAGACTCATTTGTTCGTGTATTGTTATGGCTGCTTTTGCACAACAATTGTCACAGAGACCATATGGCTCACAGAGCCTGAGGTAGTCACCACATGACCCTTTACAGTAAAAATGTGTTGAATAAAATGTGGCAGAGGTCAAGAAGGATGACTAAAAAGTGTTAACTGGAATTGGCAATAGATCCCCAGTGACCTGGATAATGGCTTTTTTTGGAATGGTAAATTAGAAACTAGATTTTGGTTGCCAGGCTCATCAAAGTGTTTTTTCCTGACTCGACAGCTTGCTAGCAGTGCAGTCTTGGGAAGTGTCTGAACTTCCATGAGCTTCAATGTCGTCTGCTGTCAACTGGGGTAAACGGAGCTACCTTCTTCAGTTTCTGTAAGGATTAGCAATAATGCACATAAACCATAAAACACAGTGTCCGGTTTATAGCAGGTGCTCAATAAATGCAAGCTCCTGCAGCATCTAATCTGCTGTCCCCAAAATTATTGTTCCTTTATGGGTAGTGCCTTTTTACTTTTAATATTTTTGCCTTCCGTGCTCTGATGTTTTACATTATGTGCCAAATCTCTGCCAGAGACAGACACAAACCTGTTTCCAACCCTAGCACTCTAACCCTCTCACCTTATTCTACTTTTCCTTTTCTCATAGAACTTACCATGTCTCACATCTAGAGAATTCACTAATTTACCATGTTGATTGTTTAGTGTCTGTCTTCTCTACTAGAATGTAAGCTTCTTGCCTACTTTTTTTTTTAACATATTTTTCAGTACCTAAACAGTACCTGGCATACAGTAGGGGCTCAATTAGTAGTTGCTGAATGACTAAATGAAAAAAAAAAGAATAAGTGAAGAATTTTTTTGTTGTTGTTGTTTTTATCCTGCTCAGGACTGGATGTGCTCCTTCCAATGGGGGATTTGTGTTATTTCTCATCTCTGTAAAATTCTCAACTATTATCTGTTGAAATAATAAAATAAATCAAGTAATAAATCAAAGGGAGCCTCTGCTCTATCCCCCTATTTTCTCCCAGAACTCTTTTTTTTTTTTAAGATTTTATTCATTTATTCATGAGACACACACAGAGAGAGGCAGAGACACAGGCAGAGGGAGAAGGAGCTTCCTGTTGGGAGCCCAATGTGGGACTCGATCCCAGGACCTTGGGATCATGACCTGAGCCAAAGGCAGATGCTCAACTGCTGAGCCACCCAGGTGCTCCTCTCCCGGAACTCTTTTTTGAATTTTTTTGAATATGTCAGCCCAGTCAACCTATCCTCAGTGACTCCCGAGTTAGTTCTTACATTTGACAACTGTTTAAGCTTTCTGGTTTATTCTAAGGCAATTTCCTCAGCTCTGTCATTTTAGTCTCTTTTCAGCTGTGTCTAGCCTACTGTTCAAACTGTTAACGGAATTTCTATTTCAATGACAATATTTTTTGTGCCTAGAATTTCTATGTCTTTCCTTTTCCTTCCTGCCTCTTCCTTCCCATTCTTTTCTGTACTTGTTTCATGGTTTCTTCTTATCTTCACTTTATCTTCTTGAATATTTTAAGTATTCCTATACTGAAATTTCTTTCAGGCTTTCCTGTTCTCTCTAGTTCTTGGGGTGGGAAACCTTCCATTTTTAAATCAGCTGGATATCTAGTAATGGTTCATTTTTTTATGCAGTCTGTAATTTTGGATCATGAGCTCCCCTTCAACTGAAAGTGTTTGGAATTTGCCTTTTCTAGGGTCTTGGGAGTTAGCAACTGAAAAGGCTCCTAAAACGTATCACTGAATGGCCCATCTTTGGAGGCTGAGTTAGGAGGCAGTATGGTGCAGATGTGAGGAAATGTGCCTTAAGTTCTCCTCCCCACTGTGAACTTATTTTTGCAACTGTGGGCAAATTACTCTTTGTGTCTTTATATCCTTATCTATAAAATAAAGATCACAATTCTTATTTCCTAGAGATGTTGTAAGGAATTAGCAAGAGAATAAAACTAAGGAACTTGGCACAATGTTCAGTATGTATTAAGTGTTAATAAATGCTAAAAAATTATAAATACATAGGACCTATTATATCACTTGTCAATATTTTCTCCTTGCTTTTTAAAAAATATTTTAAAAAGATTTTATTTATTTATTCATGAGAGACACGGGGAGAGAGACAGAGGCCCAGGCAGAGGGAGAAGCAGGCTCCCCATGGGGAGCCTGATGCGGGACTCGATTCCAGGACCCCAGGATCGACATGTCCTGAGCCCAAGGCAGATGCCCAACCACTGAACCACACAGGCTTGCTTTTTAATATAAAAGAAGAAACCTAATGCTCAGGAAAATAGCTTCCTTATTGTTTTATACAATTTTATTTATTTATTTGAGAGAGAGAGCATGAGAGAGCTTGCATGTAAGAGAGCATCAGCAGTGTGGAGGGGCAGAGGCGGAGGGAGAAGCAGGTTCCTCACTGGGTGCAGAGCCCCACTTGGAGCTCGATCCCAGGATCCTGGGATCATGACCTGAGCCCAAGGCAGACGCTTAACCGACTGAGCCATCCAGGTGCCCCTGGAAAATAGCTTCTGAATATGACTATGAAATGGATAGCCAGCCATTACATTTAGACACTGGTTAGGTCTCTCGGCTTTATTTGTGGCATATGTTAGTTGAAGATGGGGGGACAAAACCCTCAAGAACACGTTGACTTGGCTTTCAGCACTCACAGAGGAGCACTGATGAGCAGTAGAAGGAAGTTTCAGACATTATCCTCTTTTTCAACAAAAAGCCTAATTAGAAGTTGGATCATTTGCCAACTACTTTGGATTATTAAAATACAGCAGGAGGGAGAGTTCTTCTGCTGACAGGAAAATGACCTAGATAAATTTCCCTAGTTTTATTAAAATAGAAAATATATTTGACTTCTTGACTGTGTTGTCATTGGTCATTAGTCCTTTTCAGAAATAGAAAAGCAGAATTCTGGATCTGTAACTGGTACTCTGTAAATACTGTTGGTTCATTTTCAGAAAGGGATAGAGAGACGCAGGCAAATTCTCGGACAAGAGAACCTCATATTACTCCATTTCCTTCTCATGTAACTTAAACCACAAACCTTTCTTTAATTAATTACTGTTTTGGAACTGTGGGGAAGATGGGGCTGAAGGGCTAAAGTCAGTGAACAAAGGCTATAGGCCAGTGTGATCTATCAGGGAATATGCTGTTACCTGTAAATGCCTCAAAAATGATTTATAATTCTAATTTTCATACAACATTTACAAAGGCTAAAATGAAAAACATTTAAATAGAGAGATATTTCTAGATTTTAGTTACCTGATCTTCATAATCAGAGCCTGTATCAATGGTCTCTCCAGTATCCAACATCATTGAAGGATCAAGGTCACTGGAACCTAAGATTAGAAAAGAAAAGATTACCTGGGGAAGGTGGTGTGTATATGTTTCTAAAGCTAACTACCTCCCATTAGATTCCCGTATTGTTCTGAGGGTTACATTTAATTCACAAATGTCTTTAGATTCTTCTCTTCTGCTGGGCACCATGTTTGGGCTCCCAGATAGAAAACACAGATACTCTAGACAGTGTCCGGCCTTCAGAAGAAGACAGCCTTGTGGAGGAGACTGATTTGTCAACAGCAAGTTTCAGAAACCAAAATAAAGAGCTACTAATTCTGACTAGTAGTGGGAGTGATGATGGCAGTAAGAATTAAGCACAAGAATTAAGCATCGATCGCCTGAGTTTGAGGGTGAGTAAGGATGGATGGTCCAGGAGGAGCAGTGGTTTAGGGGTGTAGTAGTAAATGAGATAGAAGGAACACTGTGAGCTAAGTATGGAGTAGTAGGGGAGGAGCAAGGAAGTTCCAGAAATAAGTGGGGCCGAGTTTGCTCACTCCATGAAAACTGACAATTTTTTCCTCCAGCCTTTGGGACACTTTAGTCCCTGATGATATGAAGAATCTGGTTAACTTAATGTATTAATAGAGAGCTCACCCCCCCCCAACACCCCCCCCCCCCGCCCTCGTACTACAGGTTACATTAATTTGCTTATCCATTAATCCTCCAGGCTCAAACTTAAACCGGTAATTTTCATAATGGGGCTCCTGCAGCACACCTGATTTATCAGCCTTGTTTAATGACTCCTTCCTCCTGGGAAATACATACCACCTAACTAGCCAGAAAGAGAATTCAGTGCTGCTCATAAAATGCCATACATCCCTGTGAAGAAACAAACCACTTGGCCTTTCATTGTACGTAGACTTGTCTCTGCCAAAGAATTCTTGCTCAGAAGACACAATGAGTAATGTTTAATGAAGGCGGATTTTTTTAAAAAAGATTTTATTTATTCATGAGAGAGACCGAGAGAGAGGCAGAGACATAGGCGGAGGGAGAAGCAGGCTCCCTGTGGGGAGCCCGATGTGGGACTCAATCCCAGGACCTCAGGATCATGCCCTGAGCCAAAGGCAGATGCTCAACCACTGAGCCACCCAGATGTCCCACTGAAGGCAGATTTTTACAAAAATGTCAAGCATCTCACATGCTTCTCAGATACAGACCTCCCCCAGAAAGGCGGCTTTTAGACTTTCTTTAAAAGAGAGATTCAAGGTGTGTCCTCACACAGTCTTTTCTCATCTCTTCTCTTCTTTTTTTTTCTACTCATCATTACCCCTACTGTATATCAAATCAACTAAGGACTAGCCCACTGTCATACTAAGTACTAAGCAGTGACACCCTTGTTTTTGTGTATCTTTATAATTTTTGTAAAGGATGATAAAATTTTTCAGAATGGAGATACTTGACCCATCAAAGAAACTTGGAAAAGTAACTGTGCAGTTGCCATATATGGTTGCATAGGTGTGCAGAGCACAACTCTGGGTGATGCCATCATGTCACGAGAGCAGCAGCGCTTGCCAAGTCCATTGTCAATAAGGTAGTTGGCAGAAAGCAGTGGGGAAGACAGTGCACCACACGCTATCAACAAGGTGAGACTAGAGGAGTGACTTGCAAACTGAAATTTTATATATAATTTAAAAAAGTAGTGGCACCATATGCAATTTTTCTATCTTTGTGCTTTTTCTGTTTTTCAAATAAGAAATTGTATAAGGTTTATGGGAGGGCCAAAATATTTGATTGTCTTGAAGCTCATTTTGGGTTCAGTTCGCACTTAGGTGTTGTGGGGCAGTCCAGATGTCAGAAGTAAACGTGTATTTTTCCATTATAGGCCCATGGAGGTTTTAGAACCAGTATTTCACAGAATACCACCTCCTCATTTTAGAAAAGAAGAAAATGAGTTTTGCAGAAGTCAAACAACCTGGGCTAGATCCTAAAAGGAAGTAAGTGAGCTCAAAGACAGAAGTTATAACTCCCATTTCTCCCAACACATCCTAATCCTGCCCACTCCAAATTCGAAGTGAGAGCAACCCAAACAACTTTATGAATATGATCGTTCATTACAATACCCTACAGGACAGGAGTTGGAGGAATTTGCCATCTCTTCCACATTCTGAGAAAGTGAGTAACAGTGGATGATGAGGCGTGTCACCAGGTGGCTGCGGGAATGGAAGAACCAGATGTGGAATCAAGGAGTGTCAATCGATGCTCCTTTCTGGGTGGTTGCTATTGACAGCATCAGTAAAGGTAATGCAAATTTTATTGAGCTTTCATTATTTCCCTAATATGGATATTACCCACCACTGACTTGTAAAAATGGTGACAGGTACTTGGATTCAAATGATACAGCTGTGCTTGGAGTGATTCATGTGGAATGAGCAATGTGATCTGAACACAAACGTTTATTAAACCTACGGCCACTTTTATAGTTCCTGTGTCCTACTTACTTTGTTCAATTAGAAACTGTTTTTAAAAAAGTACAAATTTTGAAGGGCTCTCAACCTGGTTAACAGATATTATGCATTAATATTTGAAACTGGAGCAAGATGGCTAGAAAACTATCAGCAATGGTAGAAAGAAGAGATCTTTGTTTAAGGAAGAAGAAAAAAAAACCTCTTAAAATAAACAACTCCTGCTTACAGAGAAGAAGAGACTGGCTTTCCTAATAAAATACTTTTAAGAGAAATTTTATTGTATCATTAAAGGATGGAATTTCTTGACACGTTGTTGCTCTTGGCAACAGTACTAATAAATCAGAGGAAGCCATAGACAATGGATATCATTATCAGCTCAGAGAGTGATTGAATGGCTTTCATTTTCTTTTAGCATCGGTTGCTTGGTTTGCTGAAAATGGGGCCGTTAATAACCATCTAAGGTTTGACATACAAAAGAGGGAGGTAAATATAGATATATGTACACATTTTTGCCTTCTTTCATTGAACAATTTAACACATAAAAAACCTGGGATGATCTCTTTACTCAAAAAGGACAGCAAATTTAGGGCATTCTGGAAAAGTGATAGTATGGCTTTCACTTCCCCCTATTTTGAATTTCTCAATTTCTTTCAGATTTAAAAATATTCCTTCTATAGATACAGAGCTGAAACAGAATCCCCCAGGGAGCACTCTGTGGCACCAGTTTCAGATGTAGAATGGTCTTCAGAAAGATTATTTTCAGGTTGTCTCCTCAAGTTTAAGTGGGAAGATGGGACGCCCGGGTGGCTCAGTGGTTGAGCGTCTGCCTTCAGCCCAGGGCGTGATCATAGAGACCCAGGATTGAGTCCCACGTAGGGCTCCCTGCATGGGGCCTGCTTCTCCCTTTGCCTGTGTCTCTGCCTCTCTCTCCGTGTCTCTCATGAATAAATACATAAAATCTTTAAAAAAAAAGTTTAAGTGGGAAGATGGTACAAATTCACTCTCGAGGTACTGGGAGGCTAACCATGTTGCCTTCTGGGACAGCGTTACAGACTTTTGTCGTCCTAGTGGCTCTTCAATCGGAAGGTTTAGGAAGGTCCTCCTTGCACTTTGAGTCCCAGATAAAGAAGCACACCTGCAAGGCAGGGCTTCCTGGGCAGGGAAGGGTCTGCAGATAAAGCTCCTCTAAGGCATCACCTGCCCCCCCTGAGGAAAGCAGTCTCTCCCTCGTCCTGTCCCTTCTGCTAAACTGTGAGCAGCTTTAGGTGGCATATTGTATTTCACCTCTACATATAAGAGCAAAGCTTAGAAGTTTAATCCATTTGCTACACATATGCTGAATAACTGAAAGATGCGTTAAAGGGACACTGACATTTTGCTTTTGCACATCTTGACCTTCTCCATTCTCTCCGCAAACATCATATCCCTCCTAAGTGCCTCCGCTGTGAAGCGCAGAGAACCCCGCTCCCATTCCGGGAGGCAGGGAAAGTCTTAGTAACAGTCTGCATTGGAATTCCTTTGGAAAGAGCATTGTGTTTCTTCGGGAAAATATCTGGACGGTAGTTGGGCCTAGAAGGTGAGCTCCTTAAGGGAGCTGGTGTTGTGACAGTTCTGGGAGAGATGAGCAGGAGTGATTTTGCAGTTACTCCATGGCAGGGGAGGGGCAGGAAGGAAAAGAGAGAGGGCAAAGAGAGAGGAAGAGAGGAGGAGAGGCTGTGAGGCCACGTGCTCAGACAAGTGGCCCAGTTGAGGTGACCAGCTGGGTGGAAGAGGGCTTCGGCGGTGTCTCCTACGAGATTCACACCGTGTCTCAAACACTCACACATACCCTCCATCCTCGTGAAGTCCTGCACGCTAATAAAGGCCAGAGATTTTTAACAAACAGCCCTCTACCTGGTGATATCATCACAACTGTGATCCACACCCGGAGGAAAAGTACAGGGGACTCTGCTGGGGTCTGATCTATTCTGGGCTAGGGGCTGCGCACGCTCCTGGGGCAAATCACATTCAAACTGAGATACAAAATGGGATCCGGTAAAGGAAGGGTTGGGGGTGAGACTGTCGAGGGGATGCCTGGTTGCATTTTGCTGGGGAGGCAGAGTGGTCAGAGCTGCATTCGGTGAGGTTCCCCAACCACAGCAACAGGATTGAGCAGATGGGAGAGGCCAGGGGGGAAGGAAGAGGCTGGCAAAGAACGACAGAGCCCTGGCAGGTGCAGAGGGGATAAAGAACAGGACTCCCAAGGTGTCCCTGAGGAATGATGATTGGTGTGGGCCGTGAGACCGTGGGACATTTCTTTGCCTGACTCCCTTCTTCATAGAGAGAAGCTACATGATCTCACTTGTATGTGGAATCTAAAAACAAGTACACTGAAGCAGAGAGTAGGGCGGTGGTTGGCATGGCATGTGGGTGGGGAAAATGGGGAGCTGTTGGCCAAACGGTGCAAGGTTACGGTCACGTAGGATGAATAAGTCTAGGGATGCAATACACAGCCTGGTGACGATAGTTAATAACACCGTATTAAGTACTGGAAAGTTGCTGAGAGCATAGATTTCGGGGGCTCTCATCACACACAGAAAAACGGTGACTATGAGAAGAGAAGAGATGCCAGTCAGTAGTCATTTCTCCATGTACGTGCATGCCAAGTCACCATGGTGCACCTCTTAGATATATGGAATTTTTATTTAAAAAACTTAATAGAAAGCCATTCCCATGGAGGTGATAGGGGAGCTGTGGGGCAGCTGAGATTCTGCAAAGACAGTGTCCAGAGAGAAGAGAAGGGAAGACTAGAGGGGCAAAACCCCAGGGGCTGACAATCCACGGAGCAGTGGCCGCGGACATGGCCCGTTTAACTGGGTGAGTCAGCAGCATTTACAAGCCTGGAGAGTTCCCCTACAGATACAGGCTTCTGTTTTCTCTTGAAAGAGAGAAAGACCCAGCAACAACTGGCCCATTCCTTAATGGCAACCATACCATAAGGCTTCGGAGTGGCTGCCTCCTGTAGGGGAGACATCGTGAGTTTCCAGTTTACCACGTCCCCCCCTCGCTCACTGCATCACCAAGGGCTGCTATACATAGAACAGGCTTATTTTAAGGCTGGAGAGGACTCAGCTTGTAGGGGAACTTGTGGGAGTTGAGGCTGTGAGCAGACTCCTCTGTTCAGAAGTCTTGGAATATAGAGAGGAAGGATGAGGTCCCTGGAAACTGCTGCTATGGGGCAGGTGCTGTGCACTCTGAGGACACAGCACCTGCTCTCAGGCTGTTTACTGCTAGCACGGAAGCTGGTGCAGCTGCAGCCCTATAGGCCGAGGCCACTTTCGAGAAATGCCCCTAGAGAGCCACAAAGTGTCAGGTATTCTAAGGAAGGCAGCTTAGAGGACGTGGAGAAAAAGAAACGCTCACACTGTTGGTGGGAATGCAAAGTGGTGCAGCCACTGTGGAAAACAGCATGGAGCTTCCTCAAAAAATTAAGAAAAGCGAACTACTATATCATCCAGTAATTCTCCTACTGGGTATTTACCCAAAGAATACAAAAATGCTCATTTTAAAAGTCATATGCACCCCTATGTTTATTGCAGCATTATGCACAATAACCAAATTAGGTAAGCAGCCCCGGGCCCACTGAAAGATGAATGAATAAAGAAGACATGGTATATATGTGCCATGGAACATTATGCTGCCACAAAAAAGAAGGAAATCTTGCCATTTGCAACAACATGGGTGGGTCTAAAGAGTAAAATGCTACCTGAAATCAGTCAGAGGAAAGACAAATATACAATTTCACTCACATGTGGAATTTAAGAAACAAAACAAATAAAAAAAGAGAGAGAGACACACCAAAAAATAGGGTCTTAACTATAATAAGCTCAAGGTTACCAGAGGGGAAGTGGGTGGGGAAATGGATGAAAGTGGTGGAGGATGGGGAGAGTACACCCACCGTGATCCGCACTGAGTAGGGTACAGAATTGTTGAATCACTCTATCATACACTGATGCTAATATAACACTGTATCTTAACTATACTGGAACTAAAATTAAAATAAATAAATTAAAAAAAAAAAAACAAATCAGCTCCTTCACTCCACTGTCTTAGCAAACCAAGGATACCGAGCAGTTAGATATTTGTTGTTAGAGATCTAAGTAAATGTTCTAAATAAAAGATGGACTTACAAGCACAGATAACACAGCAGTTTCCAGAGCAGCACACACTGGTCTATATGCTCCTACATGCTTCTCAGTATCCCATCTTTCCCTGCAATAGGCCACCTTATTGTAGCTGTGGCTGGAAAACCAGCCAGGTGGGGTTACATTGTTCCCCGTGCTCGGTGGAGCTGCCCAGAGAGACCATTGCTTTGCCTTTCTTTTCATTCTGCCTTTCTTTGAAGCTACTCTTAAGGGATCCCTGGGTGGTGCAGCGGTTTGGCGCCTGCCTTTGGCCCAGGGCGCGATCCTGGAGACCCGGGATCGAATCCCACGTCGGGCTCCCGGTGCATGGAGCCTGCTTCTCCATCCGCCTGTGTCTCTGCCTCTCTCTCTCTCTCTCTCTCTCTCTCTCTCTCTCTCTCTCTCTGTGACTATCATAAATAAATAAAAAAATAATAAAAAAAAACCTTGAAGCTACTCTTAAGGTGCTTCAAATCAAATATGGTCAAGCCTTTTAAATGTTTAACCTTTTTGTTTACAGCCCAGAATTTTTTTGGCCTTTATCCACTGAGGTCATTACCAAGAAGAAAGGTCAGGACTGGGACAAAGATTTGAGAGTCATTGGACACCTGAGTGGCTCGGAGGTTGAGCGTCTGCCTTTGGCTCAGGGTCTGATCCTGGGATCCGGGACCGAGTCCCACATCAGGCTCCCTGTGCGGAGCCTGCTTTTCCCTCTGCCTGTGTCTCTGCCTCTCTGTGTATCTCTCATGAATAAGTAAATAAATCTTAAAGAGAGAGAGAGAGTGTGAGTCATCCACATGGAATGGAGAGTTGAGACCATGAGGGACAATGAGTTGATCAGAGTCAGAGAGCAAAAGAGAGTGAGAGAAGGGTCAGGGACCGCCTAGATAGGGAGTGTGATGCCCTGCGCTGCTCCCCAGCATCAAATTTCTAGGTGTGAGTTCTTAGGAAGGGAAGGCACAGAGCCAAAACGGGAGCTGTGGGTTGGGATGGGAGTAGCTACCAGGCAGAAGGCAAGACTTTTCCAATGGGGTACAGCAAAACCAAGTATGAGTTAGGGGGTCCTGGAGGGACTGTAACTTTTCATTGCTGCACGAAGAATGAGCTAAATTAGATTTTTTCAATTATAGTAACATAGGTCCTGTGCGTCAATGTCGTACAGGACCTGCCTGCTAATCTACTTGTGCAGGGACTGGAAGAAAAGCATTAACTCTAAAGGCCAGATGGATATTCTTTCTTTTCTGTTTTGTATCTTTATTTGTAAACCAGAAAGTATAAAGCTCGGACGGTGTCATCCTTAAAACCTTATAGCAGACTGTCGAGCTCCAGACACTTGGCAGGTGGTCAGGCCATACTGTTGCCTGAAGGACACAGTGACTTACCTGCTGCAGCTTCTTTGTTTGGGAATAACTTGCTGTCAACTGCCATGCTGATGTCATAGAACACCTCATCTTCGTCTCGGTCAGCGTCAAACTGGCGAAATCAGGACAAACAAGTTGGGAACAAGAGAAGACAGAAATTAGTTCATTCCCAAATATAAAGAGCATGCATCACACCACTGTATTGCTAATGAAGCAGGTCAACAGGAATTAAAGCCTTTGAATCTTCGACAGATACTTTGAGAGTTTTTCAGCCTAGATCACATATCAGAGAAGGATATTGGGGAATAAGTGTACAGTCAATGACTTATGCTTAAGAAAAATGGGTAGAATTCTCTTACTTTATAAAGCAAGCTTTAGAAAAAAATGATCATTGAAATTTACCTTGTGCCTTCTGGCTCTTAGAGTTTTGTTTTCAATTAAAAGAACCATGAAAATACATAGTTCTAAACAATAGGAGGGGATTTTCTAATGTACTATTAAAAAGAGAAGGAGCCCCCAAACCAAATTTTAGTTGCTTCACTAGATACTATAAATACTATAAATACTATATAATAGATGTAGTCTGTAGACATTAGAGATTTGATGTAAATTATAGATTTAAACATTTTACCATTCTTTAAAATTTACAAAAATTTAAATATTAAACAAATGTGGTTATATTTGTAAGTCCTGTATGTCCCAGGTTGTGCAGTGGTTTTTAAAAAATACATGTTTATCTCTTTAGTTTTTAGAAAGAGCTTTGCTGAATTATAATAAACATATAATAAATTGTATATACTTAAAGTGTACAAGGTGGTACATTTTGACATCTTCATCTGTATACCCGTGAAACCATCATAAAAATCAAAATAGTGAATATAACTATCACCCTCAAAAGTTTCCTTGTGCCCCCTGAGAATGAATCCCTTTCTCCTGCCCCTCTACCTGGTAATCATTGATCCTACATTCCTCTAACTATAGATTATTTTGCATTCTCTAGAATTTCGGATGCAAGGATTTATATAGCATTAAATTTTTTAGTCTGGATTCTTTCACCCAGCCCAGTTATTCTGAGAGTCATCAATATTGTATCCATCATTCATCCCTTTTCATTGCTGAGTAGTATTCTCCTGTATGCATATACTGTTAAATTCATCCTGAGTTTATAATGTCTGTCTTTCAGCTCAGACATTATAATTTTCATCTCTAGATGTCTGATTTGAGTCTTTAAAAAATCTATGTCTCTATTTAAGGTTTTGAATATTTGAAATACAATTATAACTTTTAATGTCCTTTGGTAATTCTAACATCTGGTGTTTCTTTGCATGTTTGGTAGTTTTTATTGGATGCCAGGCATCATCATTTTGACTGTGTTGGGTGTTAGATATTTTTGTAGCCCTATAAATATTCTTGTGCTTTTGTTCTAGAATGCAGTTCAGTTACTTGGAAACAACTTGATCCTTTCAGATTTTGGTTTTAAGGCTTGTTGGGCTGACCAAAAAATTGCTAGAACTGATACACAAATTCAGTAAAGTTGCAGGATGCAAAATCAACATGCAGAAATGTTGCATTTCTATACATCAATATACATCTGTTGAAATTTCTATACATCAAGGAAGAAAAATCAAGGAATCAATCCCATTTACAATTGCATAAAGAACCGCAAGATACCTAGGAATAAACCTAACCAAATAGGTAAAAGGTCTGTACTCTGAAAACTGTAAAATACTGATGAAAGAAATGTCATCATTAGAGATGACACAAAGAAGTGAAAAAACATTCCATGCTCATGGATTGGAAGAACAAATATTGTTAAAATGTTTATATTATCCAAAACACTCAACACATTTAATGCAATCTCTATCAAAATATCAGCATTTTTCACAGAGCTAGAATAATCCTAGTTTGTATGGAACCACACTGTGAATAGCCAAAGCAATCTTGAAAAAAGCAAAGCAAAGTTGGAGGCATCATGATTCCAGAGTTCACTATTACAAAGCCATAGTGATCAAGATGGTAATGGTACTGGCACAAATACAGACACATAGATCAATGGAACAGAATAGGAAATCCGGAAATGAACCCACTACTACTATATGAGTAATTAATCTTCAACAAAGTAGGAAAGAATATCTAATGGATAAAAGCCTCTTCAACAAATGGTGTTGGGTAAATTGTTGAGTGACATGCAGAAGAATAAAACTGGACCACTTTTTTACACCATTAATAAAAATAAATTCAAAATGTATGAAAGACCTAAATGTGAGAGAGAAAACCATCAAAATCCTAGAGGACAATGCAGGCAGTAACCTCTTTGACATCAACTGTAGCAACTTCTTACTAGATGGGTCTCCGGAGGCAAGGAGAACAAAAGCAGAAATAAACTATTTGGACTTCATCAAAGTAAAAACTTCTGCACAGTGAGGGAAGCAATCAATAAAACTAAAAGGCAACCTTCAGAATGGGAGAAGATATTTGCAAATGACATATATGATAAAGGATTAGTACCCCAAATATATAAAGAACATCAAACTTAATACCCACAAAACAAATGATCCAGTTAAGAATTGGGCAGAAGAGATGAATAGACATTTTTTCCAAAGACATTCAGACGGCTAACAGACCCACTCAAAGATGCTCATCACCACTCATCATCAGGGAAATAGAAATCAATACTACAGTGAGATATTACACCAGTCAGAATGGCTAAAATTAACAACACAGAAGGCCACAGGTGTTGGCAAGGATGCGGAGAAAGAGGAATCCTATTACACTGTAGGTGGCAATGCAAACTGGTGCAGCCACTTTGGAGAACAGTATAGAGGTTCCTCAAAAAAGTTAAAAATAGATCTACCCTATGATCCAGCAATTGTACTACTAGCTATTCAGCTGAAAGATACAAAAATACAGATTTGAAGGGGGATATGCACCTCAGTGTTTATAGCAGCATTATCAACAGTAGCCAAATTATGGAAAGAGCCCAAGTGTCCATCAACTGATGAATGGATAACAAAGATATGGTACTGGGGTGCTTGGGTGGCTCAGTCAGTTAAACATCTGCCTTCAGCTCAGGTCATGATCTCAAAGTCCTAGGATTGAGCCCTGCATTGGGGCTCCCTGGTTCTCCCTCTTCCTCTGCTACTCTCCTTGCTCATATTCTCTCTCTCTCTCAAATAAATAAATAAAATCTTTAAAAAAAGATGTGGTGTGAGTATATAGACATATATATATATATATAATGGAATATTACTCAGCCATAAAAAAGAATGCAATCTTGCCATATGCAATGGCATGGTTAGAACTAGAGGGTATCATGCCAAGTGGAGTAAGTCAGTAAGAGAAAGACAAATACCTCTTGATTTCACTCCTCTGAGGAATTTAAGAAACAAAACAAATGAACACATGGGGGGTGGGATAAAAAGAATCAGACTCTTAACTATAGAGAACAAACTGATGATTACCAGAGGGGAGGTGGAGGGGGATGGGGGAGATAAGGGATGGGTGCGCTCCTTAATGGAGTGCACGCCTGTTGTGATGAGCACCGAGTGATGTATGTGAGTGACGAGTCACTAAATTCTCCACCTGAAACTAGTGTTGCACTGTAAGTTAACTAACTGGAATTTAAATAAAAAACTTGAAAAAAAAAAGACTTGTTGAGTTGGACCAGAGCATTGTTAAGTATACAGCCAATCATTCCCTACTGTGGAGGCAAGACTCTTCAAAGTACTGTACCTAGTACCTGGTGAATTAAGTAGTTTTCTAGTCCGGTTGGTAGAAAAAAAAAGCACTATTTCAAGCCTGGTGTAGCACTAGCTAATCTTTTCGGGTGGTTTCCTCTCAGATTTGGGTAGTTTGCTTACATGCATGCATTGCTTAGCACCGAGCTGACTATTGGAGGGGAGCCCACATCTCTGCTCTGTCCTCTGCCCTCCAGTCACCTTGGGCTCTTAGACTTTCAGCTGTGTCTGCTCAACCCAGGGGGTCCCCCAATTTCCACGAGGCTTCCTTCTTTTTTCTCCATACCTGGGAACTCCCCAGGCACGCTGCATTTGTTTCTTAGGGTATCACCTTATTGCTTGAGGGAAGGTGTCTGGAAAATTGTTTTTTAAAATATTTTCTTTGGGGGGCACTTGGGTGGCCCAGTGGGTTAAGCATCTGCCTTCGGCTCAGGTCATGATCCCGCGGTCCTGGCATGGAGCCCTGCATTGGGCTTCCTGCTCAAGGGGGGAGCCTGTTTCTCCCTCTGCACCTCCTCTCTGCTTATGATCTCTCTCTCACGCTCTCTTTGTCTCTCTTGCAAATAAATAAATAAAAATCTTTAAAAATATGTCTCTTTTCTTTTTCTTTTGTTTGTTTCACATGGGAGGGGAAGAAAATCCAGTCTCTTCTATCTGGGTCAGAAGTCTCAATTCTTTAGCTTTGAATCTTAATTACTATCTTGAAGGTATTTAAGAAGATTTACACGATTTATTCCTTCATATTCTCCTACTGAAGCATTTCACCCTTCTTGGTGAGGGAAATCGTGGAAGCCTAAATTAGAAAGTTATTTCTTTAGCTCCTCTTAGAGCTAAAGCACATCTGAACGGTGCTTCGAAGTGCTTTCACCGTGTCACCAGCCCATGGGAAGGAAAGGTGAGGCAGACAGTTTTCTTCTATTTCACAGGTGAGGAAGGATCTACTTAGCGATGTCATGACTTTCTCGAGTCAAACAGCTAGTAAGCAGCGCTGGGACTTGAACTTAGGGTGACTGACACTTTGCATCCTGCAGATACCATCACAGTAAGACCAATATAGCCCTTCTGCTCAAATGGGTGTTAACACAGCCCTTTGCATCTAAAAGCAAGACGAGACTTAGGGCCGCTACAAGGAGACCAAGAAGGCCACGGAGTCATCTCCGTGAGCTGTTCCTCACACCCACGTATGCTGTGGCTGGGCTTTTTTTCTCTCAAAATATTTATTAGCTGTCATCAGTAAGGAGTAACATGTACTAAAGAGGGATTTTGTCTTCATTTTTTTCTTGCACTTTGGGATATGGGTGGCAGCCCTGTCATTTCATAAATAAAAGAGCACAAGTGTATGTTTTAGCTTGGGATCCCTAGAAAACAGAGCCTG